GCTGGAGGTTTCTTCCTGTTCAAAGGGAGTTTTTCCTCTCCACTGTCGCTACAAGCATGCTTAGTGTGAGGGATTGTATTTGAGTCAATGAGTCGATGCAATCAGCTGGTTTTCCTTTTGATAGAAAACTTTGTATCAATCTGACTGGATGATCTGGTGAACTGTAAGGTGCCTTGAGATGACATGATGTGAATTTGGCGCTATATAAATAAACTGAATTGAATTAAAGTATTCAATAGTGATATTTGCACTTGTCTTTTCCTCAAACATAGAACATACTCTGTGATCATTGTTTCTGTGTGTTTTTTGAGCTTCATCTTCTCAAATCCCCCAGACCACCTTGTGAGCTGAAAATTAGTCACTCTAGCAGGGGTGGGCAATTCCAGTTCCTTAGGGCTGCTATCCTGCAACTTTTATATGTGCCCTTGGTTGAACACACCTGAATCAAGTAATTAGATGATTAAGAAGAACCAGGACAAACTGACTGCATCCTGAGGAGGTCATTCAGCCATTTGATTCAGGTTTGTTGGACCAAGGATGGATCTAAAAGTTGCAGAATACCAGCCCCCAGGAACTGGATAGCCCACCCCTGCTCTACAGAATCTGCAGGGTTTTTCCATACATAAAAACCTTTATACTAATTTGAATTAAAAAATAATGTTGATTGCATTGATTGATGGGATGCATTCACTCTAAATCTGTCTGTTAAGATTGGATTGATTTAATTTGTAATGCAAAGTGCCTTTAGATGATCATGGTTGTAAACTGGTCACTGAACAACCTTTACACCTTCAAACCATCTGATAACTTTTTGCTGTTTCCCTATAAGCTTTTTAAACTCACACTTAGATGATCTTCTTCCCAGGTGCTCGTTATCAACTGTGTCGCTCGACCACTCCACCTTCTTCTCAGTCTTCCTCTTCCTCAACTTGATTGTCAAGCTTCGTCCCTCCTGTAAACACAAAAAGGGAACTTCAATATCAAACAAACTATGGTCGATTATTCATTAGTAATATCAGATAGTGTAACGCAAAGTAACAGCATTTTAATTTAAAGATTGTTAGACTTTGGTAAGAAATAGTTACCCTTTTTCTTACTTATTTCATACATACATTGCTGAATAAATAGTATCCTTTTATTCTCATGTTTCACTTGGATAAATTTAACTTATTTCTAATAGGCTAGACAATTAGGACTCGGATTCCCTGCAATAACCTGATATAAAACCGTTATCTATATCTGGGACATAGATAGGGACTCCTTTTCCTCATTCTGCTTCATTTTATCTCTATTCTCCCACTCTGCAGAATCTGTTAGTTCAATCTCTAACGTTCTGCTCTCTCTGCTTTTTCTCATAGTAGCTTCATCTGGTCTGTTCCTGTTTGGCTGTGACTCCATCCTGGAGAGAAATATCAGCTGTGCTGCTGCCATCAACACCTTTGTTTCTAGATGTTGGAGCTTGGCCTGTTTTCCAGTGTAGTCCTGTTTCTCTGACTGTGACTAACTGGATGTGCTCTCTTCATCCTCTGACATGGGAGCTGGCTCGGAGCTCGATGGCAGCAAATGGCCGCTCACACTGAGCCTGGTTCTGCTGGAGGTTTCATCCCGGTCAAAGGGAGTTTTTCCTCTCCACTGTCGCTACAAGCATGCTTAGTGTGAGGGATTGCTGAAGAGTCAATGAGTCGATGCAATCAACTGGTTTTCCTTAGATAGAAAACTTTGACTGGATGATCTGATTAACTGTAAAGTGCCTTGAGATGACGTTTTGTGAATTAGCTCTATAGAAATAAACTGAATTGAATTATCGGCTTCTTTTCCACACTGATGGCTGACTCTGGTTTGAGTGCAGGTTCAGAAGAGATCTTAATCAGAAATTGTGTCAAAATAACCTCACAACCAAGGCTTCTGCAACTTAAAATCCCCTTACATTTTCTGAACAAAGTACACAAAGCTATTCTTCTATTCCCTTTGATCGAGGTTGATGAATCTTATCTTGTGAGCAGATTTTTTCCCGATAATGACAGAGATGTAATCAGAATCAGCAGCCAATGAGAGAACCTGTCCTCCTAAGAGCTGACCAATAGCAAAAGGTCATCTTCTGTTAGCAACAGCAGCATTTATAGGCCTCCCAGTATTGGCGGTCCAGTTGAAAGCCACATTAATCGTCTCCACAAATAATCCGATCGCCAATAATCCACCATTAAACAAAATCATTTCAGGTCGTGATCATCGTAGTCCTGAATCTGGAAACCCAGAGGACAGTAATCCGCCCGGTGGCTTCAGATTACCAACGCAAATTTAGATTACCTGGATTAAAACTGACCACACCTTTAGTATTTTAAGCCAAACAAACCTAAGATATAAAGGAAACCAACCGCCTAACAATAAAACCCAGGCGGATAGAGGGCTGCTGGCGTGTCCACCATTGAACCTGTGAGCAGAGGGCGGGCCTCGCTGGCCTCCATGGTTGCTTTAGCAGACCACAAACAAACGTTTGGACCAAACCGTTAAAAACCCCGCGGTACCGGGTCAAAACAGTTACCTGCTGTGGCGGCGGCGGCGTGTTCGTCTGAACAGTCTCCGTTATCGTCTCACTGGATGTCCCGGGAACCTCCGCCATCCCTGCGGCTAACGCTAACGTTAGCTTCTTCAAATAGGCTAACCCACTGCAGTCCGGCTCCCGCCGAGGTTAAAGGAGACCAGCTGAGACCGACCTGCAGTCACCAAGTCACACACTGGAGAGTAAACGATGAGGTTAGAGCCAGAGACACCGCGGGGCGTTACAGGCAGGAGCTGGAGGCAACACAAGCTGCAAAACAAATTAACCCGACTCAACCGGAAGTAGATCGTTTCTCAAGCGGAAGTGTTTAGACGCAGCCGACACAAATCAGTTCCACTCAAGCAAAACCAGTTTTTATAGTTTGTTAGCATCGTTTGTATTTCCAATTGTTTCAGTTAGATTTTTAATAACATTGTTTTGAAAAGACAGCACGTTATTAATTTTATTCTGAATTATCTAAATAATTGTAGCGAAGTGGGGAAGATATTTCCAGACGGACTTTCCTTCAGTCCCTAAGATGCCGCCTGTCAGATTGAATCCAGTGGGATAAACTGTCTCTGCTTATAAAGGTATGAATACACAGTACTACATATTCTATCTAAATAATAATAAAAAAAAATATACCATCTTGATTTATATGTATTTTTTATTTTATTTTGGTTGTTTCGGGGTTTGTGTTGCAGTAATAGGTCAGCTAAGTTAGAAGGTCATGAAATACTTTAATTTATATTTGAGCATGACTTAAATTTTCATAAACTAAGAAGTGCTGACGTATAATCAATTCAACCGGCGTTAAAATGGACCATCTTTATATTTGCAGTGTTTTGTTAGCTGAGGATGTGGAGTTCAGGATCTTCTCTGAGGACCAGGCTGGTAGCAAAGACCGCCTCTAAACTCTGCTCCAGCAAACCTCCGGATCCTCCCCGGACGCTCCCCTCTGCTCAGCCGCGACCCCGAGCCGAGAAACACAGACGCAGGCGACAGAAGGAGGACAGCATCCTGTCAGCTCCTCATCATGTAAGACCTCCATCCTCCAATAGGTCCTTGGCTTTGATGGGTGTTTGTTTGCATTTATTCATTCAGGAAGACAATCATAAGGATACAGCAGCTGGGTGTGACCTTTTAATGAGGAATGGTACAGATATGTTCCACTTTTAATAGTTTTCTGCCACTTTCCTGATCCCTCTATTGCTTCAGTTGCCTATTTGCTCCCCGAGTGAAGAGTTCAGGCATTTTACAGGACAAGCCATGAGAAATGTACCCACTTTCCTTGGCTGGTCTTCTACAATTCATTTTTAAACATCAATAATTGTAATTGTTAGGATAACTATCATTGATGATGTGTGAGTTTATGACACCTTAATATTAGCCGCCTGTTGTGTGTCAGAACTGATATT